CATCTTGGATCTGTCCGCTTTATCTCAGTGAGGTAAAAACATCTCTTTAGCCATGCAGCAAGCACTAGAACAAATAAAGAAGACCCAAGAAAATGAGACTTTTAGAAGTGTCCCCACTGTGTCCTGGGTATATCTCCATGGAGATGTTACCTAAATAACTTCCCAAATTGCTAGAGAAAATCCTCCCCTCTTCTGTTATACTGATTTTCAAGACCTTTGAGCGCTCTCAAAGAAATAAAACATAGGCATGGAGTTCAGTGCTTTTTGCGTCAGTAGCTGGGGAGGAGTAGTACATTGCTCCTCAGCACAAGCACCAAACTCAGTGTTTCCTGGCATGTTCTAGTAGCACGTCTGGGTAAGCTGCATCAGCTTTCTCCTCTCACGTGCACACCCATTAGTTGGTGCCAGGGTCTGTGTGAGCAGGGCAGCAGTGTAGTGCTCACAGACAGCTCCTGTTTGACCCTGCGCCAGGCGGCGTGTGGCAAGGTGAGGATGCTGCACCTGGGGTTGACCACAGAGGTACCTGTGGGACCTGGCAGGCTGCGTCAAGCCTTTGGATATTTTTTAGACTGTGCTCAGTACATAGCAGAGTTGTAACAGTCAGATTGCAGTGGGGCAAAGGTGGCTTTGACGATACTCAGTGCTCACATCTCCCCTTATCTCAGATCCCACCTTGCAGGTGGAAACAGCTACTGCTAACCTCACGGTGCAGGAGAAGGAATCCTTCCCACTGGACTGCAGTATCCTGTCCCGCTCCAGCCCAGAGTCCCATTTTGCCGTGACATGGTACAACATGCAGGCTAAAGAGGCCAGTGGCCAGATGGAGGAGGACGAGGAGCAGGAGAGGGAAGCAGTGCTGACCGTGGGCCCCGATGCCATCTTCAGCACTGAGGCCAGTCGCTGGGAGGGGCGCCTGCGCTTCCAGAGGCTCTCGGCGGTGCTTTTCCGGCTGACAGTGCTGCAGGCCAGCGGAGCTGACACAGGGAACTACTCGTGCCGTGTGGAGGAATGGCTGGCGGACCCCAGCGGCGTGTGGTACCGGCTGGCAGAGGAGGAGTCAAGCACAGTTGCTGTTCATGTGCAGGATGCAGGTGAGAAGAGGTGATGGCCCTCTTGGGGGCATGTCCCTGGCATCTCCTGCATCTTTGGTTCAACCAAGATAAAAAGTCCAAGGAATGAATGGGCCTGGGTCTCACCTGCACCAGGGCAAGTCTGTGGTGCCAGTGCTTTTCCAACTAGGTTGACGTCTTATAGCCCAGGTCTTTCTTGGATTAAGCACTACACTTGGCTCTGTGCTGGGGCTGCCCACCCCACAACACCACCTGGTGTGTCTGGAGTCAATGGGGACAGACATTGTCCCCCCCGGGGTTTAACCCTTCCCTGTGGGAAACACCCTGGAGTTTGGCTTGGCTGTGCACAGAGGTGCAGGCTGTGGCACAAAGGGTTTCTCCCAGCAACTCCTGAAGCCATTGGATGGTTTAGAGGCCCCAGAGATAACTGAGGTGATGGGAGTTTCATGGGCCCTTAAGGGACATACCCTGGGGTGCTGCCTCTGTCTGTGTACAGCCACTGAGGGAATCTGTGATTTGCAAGGCTCCCTGCTTTGTAAGATATCATAAAATCTGCACCAGGGAGGACTCTTCTCTAGCACTTACGAAACTCATGGTGGGGATAAAGCCAAAACATGCCCTGCAACAACTTTCTTCTGCTACTCTGTTCTGCAATATTGGTATTTTTCTCAGAGCCCCACCTCCTCCATTGACACATATTAATGTCTGGGTTTTTTGTATCTAAAGAAGTTTTTAGGCACTGTGTTGCAGAGCAGCCATGAAATGTGACCATCATGTGTCTCTTTCCAGGCTCCAGCCTGCAGTCTGTCATCTGCTCCAATGACGCCCTCTTCTACTTTGTGTTCTTCTACCCCTTCCCCATCTTTGGCATCTTGATCATCACCATCCTCCTGGTACGGTTCAAGAGCCGGAACTCTAGCAAGAACTCTGAGGGCAAGAATGGGGTCCCCTTGCTGTGGATCAAAGAGCCTCACCTCAACTACTCTCCCACCTGCCTAGAACCACCAGTCCTCAGTATCCACCCAGGAACCATGGATTAAACAGGCAGAGGCACCCAGGAGGACAAGCAGAGAGAGAAGCAGAGACACACTGGGAGCCCTGAGGAACAGAGTGGATTTTGTTGTTCTTGTTTCATTTGTTTCAGTGTCTGTGCTCTGACGTGGAGGCTGAGCTCTGTGGAGCACCCAGCCAGCAGGGATGGGAAGGTCCAAGGCTTCCTCCAGCACTGGTGGAGAACATGCCGCCTCATCCTGATGGACAGAGTCGCTGCTCTTGATGTACATAGCAGATGTTCCTCTCGGATTAATTTTGTTCCCATCAGTTGCTGTCTTTTTGGCCGTTACTATTTTGTTACTTCTTTTTTGGTCACTGAAGGAACTGTAGGCTTCCCCTGCCTTCCACACAGTGAGGAGTTCCAAGGGGGCATTTGGTCCTGGAACCACCTCTTTGGAAGTAAATGTATATGTTTTCCAAAACAGCCTGGTTTTCCTCCTCAGACTCGGTGCCACGGTGAAGAAGGTCTTTTCCCAAGGTGTGCTGAGCTAGCTCCTCCTTCTAAAATAGATAAAGCCAGGTCCACCTACAGAGGGGTTAGCTGAGCTATCAAGATGTCCATCTCAGACACTGGCTGTAGTCTCAGCATCTTCTTGCCTCCATCTACTGTTCTCTCAGGAGGGAGCAATTCACCTTTTGGAGTGTTTCAAGGTCTTGGAGAGACTGAATATTGAGCACATTAGTGATCAGGACAAAATCAATTTAGTTTGTTCCCGGGAACTGAAGGGAGGGATGGAAGGAGGACACCTGAAAGCTCTGACTTTGTTGGTAGCAAAGAAGGTCCTTGTACAGTCCAGCTTACCAGAGTTGTGCTCCTCCCTGCTGTCCATGCTGCAACCTCTGACGAGGTGGGTCCCCCCTGTGCCCCAGTTGCCTGGGGATGAGTGGCTGGATCCAGTCTCTGAAGACTTCAATATGACCAAAGTAATGACTCCTCTAGGAAGGGGGAAGGGAGAAGCTCCACAGGTTGGGTTCACAGCCCCTCCAGCCAAGGAGCCCAGTTGCAGCCATGCTGTGCAGCAAGGACATGCAGTTAACCACCATGTGTCATGAGTTTCCCTGTGGCTTGCACTGCTTTCTGGTGTGAGTCTGGACAGGGTGAGGAGCCTGCACCACACTGGCACCCTGGGGGCTTGCTTGTCCCCTTGGGCCGAGAGAAATCTTCCCTGTGTGTGCACATGCATCTGCCGTTTTGAGTTTCTGGCGCTTGAGAAGGAGAAACCATTTCTCCATCAGCTCCCCATCCTGGCAGTCATCTGCTCTTGTAGGCAGTCACTGTGGCAGGAAATGCTGTTCTTTCTGTGAAAGATATGGCTCTCACGAACCAAACCAGGGCTCTTACCACATGGGGCACCTGAGCTTCCGTGTACCCTTTAATGCCAAGGACCCCTGCCATGTCCTGTGAGGGAATCCGCCTCCTCCCGTATACACACCCCAAGTGTTATGTCTGGCGGAAGAAAATGTTTGCCAAAAATGGCCTTTTGTTGTCTTCCTCGATGTCTTCCTGGCAAATCCAGCCATTTGTATTTTGCAGCATGGCTGAAGCCAACCGGGATGGTTGGGCACAGCCACAAGACTCCCTACACCTCACATGTGAGAGGTGCCATACCCACAGCCATTGTCCTCTTCAGGAGTGTTGGACTGCTCTTTGTGAAGAGACGAGGACCTCAGCAGATGCTCTGTAGCACTAGCTGGTTAGACCCTGATGCCTTGATGTTTCAGAGGTGGTGAAGCCTCAGGTGGAAAATCTGCAGCGCATATCCTCTCTTCCAGCTGGGAGAGGACTCGTGGCAGTGGACTCTTCCATGCTAGGGCATTTGAAGTCAGCCACCTCTGCTCTTCCAGTAGAACATTGGTTTCTTCTTCCACTGGGAAGCCCAAATTTCACTCATCCCTCTGAAAAGTCTGCCTCCTCGAGATGTAACTGCTTACTGACCCCAGCATATGCATAGTATCACGCTCCTATATATATATACACACGTATCACACACCTGCACACTTGTCTTCCCTTTCTGGTTATGACATCTGCAAAGAGAGGGGTGGGATGAGAAGTAAATGGAAATGAAGAACCAAGGAGGGAAGAGCAGCAGCTGAAGCCAGTGGGTATTGTTTGTAAATGTAGTGTCTCCTGTACCTAATGCTCCGGGGCAGGAACTGCAATTCACTTCAGCTTTAAAGGAAGGAAGAAGAGAAAATAAAGTCAGCAGGATCTGTTCTTCCCTGGGAGAGCACTGTGCTGCATCCAAGCCATGCTCCTTGTCAGCTTGTCTGCCCTGGAGCAGGGCTCTCCTGGAGAGCTCTCCATGGTCCTGTGCCCCTGGCTGGATTGGGTCCCTTCCCAGCCCTGAGGTTCCTGCACCGAGCCCAGGCTTTCCTGGGCTTCCAGGTGATCCCTGAATGTACCTTGCTGGTGGCGTTTCCCCATTGCTCTGGCAGATGCTGCCCAGTCTCAAACTTCTGTTTTTATAAGGCAGACTCTTCCTGTAACGAGTTTTAACATGAAGCTTTTCAAACCACTCTCTCTGCTGTAACTTCCTGTAACAAAGCCAAGAAGAGAGATCCTCTATCCATGCATGATGTGGAAAAATATTTGGGATTTTTTTTAAGAAAACAGACGTTTAACAAAAACTTTGTACTATGTTGCACTAAAACATGTTTTATACAACACACCGGAGAGCTGTAGTAAACTGTGCTGAAATTGTGAATCCTATTGCTGCTGGTTTTTATCAGATTTGGGCTTTCATTATGCCTTTATGCACACTCCCTGCATAAAGGTGTGCTGAACACCTCCTTTCAGGCAGCCTCTCCCTTTCCCACCACCCATTCCCTGATGCATTAACTCTTCTCCCGCCCTGGTAGTGCATCTCGTTTCTTGCATGCTGGAGCCTGCAGACACCTTACACCCTCTGGCTCTTCATGCTTCTCCCTCCCATCCCTTAATTCATCCCATAACAGAATGTAACATTTAACCAAGGCACGTCAGGTCTGTTTATTGAATGGGATACACCGTTTTTTAAATTGCTCTGAAAACAGGAAGTACTTTGGTCTGGATTTGAAGAAAAAACTTTTTTTTTTATGGAATTATCCATAGCAAACACTAAGCAAATAATCTTTAGTAACCTTGATGTAAACAGAAGAATATTGCTCACTACAGAAGCTGCTTAAGTTGATGTAAAGCACAACCTGTTCATTTTCATTACCCACTTTTACCTTGATGAAAGGTTTGGTTAGTAGTCTTGAACTCCGACGCTAACTGAAGTAGGGAAATAGTTTGATACATTCTCACCTGTATAGTAGAAGTGTTGTGACATTGTGCAAAATGCACTGCTGACACAGCTGTGAGGTTGGGTTTGGGATTTTTCCCCACATTCATTTAAAACAAAAAAATCTGCTAAAATAATTGTATGAGAGAGCTGCTGTCTCCAGGCACAACTGGCTGTTTGCCTGCTCCCCTTGCACCCCTCCAGCAGGTTGTCTTGGGCTGCATCTGCTATAGTCTCAGTGCTAGATGGCAAGTGGTGTCCCCAGCACTCCCTGGTGATAGTACCAGGCAGGGAGCTTGGGCTAGCTTAGGCTTGCTGGGAGGCATCTGCAGCCCATGTACACTCCCTGCAGTCAGGTGTGCATCCCTGACTCTCTCAAGCATGCTCATATGGGCAGGACCCTGGTCTGGGGCAGCCTGAACGGGTTTTGCTGCTGAGGCATGGCTGCAGTGCGTGTCCCTGCTCCCCTTGAGGGCCAGGCAATGTGCAGCCACCATGCAGTGGAGGAGGGATGTCTCAGGGCTTGGCTGCTCCCATCAAACCACCTTGTAAGTGCTTCCCCTACCCACCATCCCCAAGCTGCTAGCTCCAAAACAGACCCCCATTGAGGCCAACATGCACACAAAAAAAGCAGACCTGACTCTAGCTGACACTCCTGTGCTTTAACCCAAGAGGTTTGCAAATGGAGTTTGCTAAACCTTGAGTGAGCGGAGGCTGGCTGTGAGGTAAGCACACCCCTGGGGGCCCTGCTGCCCCCATCTAGGTGAGGTGGTACAAGGCCTTGGCCACCTGTTCTAGGCGGTCTCTGTACTCAAGTTGGGCATAGAGGGAGTCATTGACACCCTGGAAGCCATGCATGGCACCCCACCAGCAGGCCGCAATGGCAGCAGTGGAGTCGCTGTCCCCACCATGGAAGAAGGCCCGGTGAGCCAGCTCTGCCCACGAGTCCCCTGCGCCCAGCACCGCATCGTAAGCGATCATAGGGGCATCGTGCCCACTGCTGCCCCCCCAGCCATCATAGCTGAGGGAGGTGTAGAAGGAGTCTCTCTCTTCCACGCCATACCTTGGGGGGAAGGTGGGTGGCGAGATCCCATCTGCTATGCCTCTCTCTGCCAGGTATTTTTCCCACTGCTCTTCAAAATAATGCCTGCAAAACAGGATGGATGGGCTGTAAGAGACATCTGACGGCAGAAGCATGTACCTCAGCTCCCTGCTTGGCACCAGCTGAAAACGTACCGCATCAAGAGCCCGGAGCAATGGCTCAGCAAATGGTAGGTATCCCCCCATTTGTCAGACTAGGGTCATGATTTCCAGTAAGAGGCCCAGGGACATGTTTCAGTGAGTTAGATTTCCCCTCCTTCCAGCTACATGGGAGAAAGCAACCCAGCATCTGCTGTTGTCGTGTTGCATGGGATTCAAAGGCTCAGAGTGAAAACTGAGTCATCCTCTGAGATCCAGAGTACCTCTGCCCTTGCCTGTGTGTGCTCCTGCATACAAAGCCCCCCTGAATCTGCAACCAAATTTGGTTATGATTTTCAAACTGGGCTCAGTCCTAAAGCGTAGTGCTCTTCCCCTGCTTCCATCTTTCATCAGGTCATGGTTGCTTGAGGTGACAAATTCAGCTACCTCATACTGGATCCAAAAAATGGCACAACTGCATGACCCAAACACAACGTGCTCGGTTTTGTTTTAAATTAAGCTAGAGGTACTCTGAATCTATTCAGTCCCACAGCGGGCATGAGCTGCTCTGGGACTTTTCTGTATGTGGTTACTGAAACTTAAGTATAAGCAGAGCTCACCCTCTCATACATGAGGTTTATTCTAGTTTTAGCAAAGCCCGGTGCTGGAAGCACAGCTCACCATTGCCCCATGTTCTCCTCCACAAAGAAGCCAGTGTCCCGCACGTAGGCTTTTGCCTTTGGCAGCACCTCCAGCAGCTGCTTCCCCCAGGCCAGGGGGGGCACGTCATTCACTGCAAGGGCTGTGAAGAGGGCTGAAGCCAGTGACCCCAGGTAGCCAGTAGGATGGTGGTGGGTCATTCGGCCGCTCTCGATGCTGACTTGCACCAGGGTGTCCAGCTCACTGGTGTGGCAGAAACGTAGCCCGATGCACATGGCGCGCATGGCAGCCCCGCAGCCTCCTGCATGGGGGCTGAACAGGGTCCTCCAGCCATCCGGCTGCTCCGGATCCAGCTTCAGCGCATTCACCATACTCATGGCACCTGGACAGGGAGGACACAGCCCAAGAAAGAAAACAAACATGCATCAGTAAGTGACAGGGTCATGTAGCTTGGGAACTGAGGGAAGACAGGCTAGGTAGTGGAGAAGGAGCATTACTCTGCATAAGGGATTTGAGCTTCCCTTTAAAACCATCAGTTATCTACTCACACGTATCCTGCCTTAAATTGCCAGGGCACCAAGCATATACTCAAGCAGACTTGGTAATTCCTGTTCATGAAAATAATTAGGGGGTAAGAAACAAGTCCACTGCTGATTTATTTACATTAATTTTATTTACATATCATGTTGTTTAATAACTTCTCTATAAATACTATATATATTAATACATGCTATATATAATACATACTATATATATTAGGTATATTATGTACACATACATCTAAATACCTAGATAGATATAAATAGAAACAGAAAGGAGGTCTGGAGGATCCCTGAACTGAGGCAGGGCTAAGTACCTCTGCTTTTTTAGTTGTTCAGCCTCTTTACTGGACCTTTTAAAGGCAGAGACCCCACAAGCTCCCAGGCATCTTTCCCACTGGGAAACACTGGAAGTGTTTTCCAGCTCTCCCTTGCTGCAGTTTAAGGTTGTCAGAGAGTCATGAATGTATTACTTCTCACTGCAACATGGTCTGCATAACTGGCTTTACTGTACTCCTCTTCAATAAGCTGAAGAACAACTGTACTAGGTGAGACCAAAGGTTTGTCCAGCCAACTAGCCTGTCTTCACAGTCACTAACCGATAACTATGGAAACACCCTAAAAAATGAGGCAAATACAACGTTCTCCCAAGAAGACCCACCTGGCTTCCAGCAGATACAGGAGTACAAGCATGCTTGAGTCATAAGACAGAGCCAAAGTGGTGTGTTCAACTCATGATGTACCCAGCCACCAGGAAACAGCCTCCTCAGCTCGAACCCATGTATGCCTTCAGACTCCTTCAACATCCCATGGTAACCAATGCCATGATTCGGTTATGCAAAGCACTTCCTTTTGTTTTAAACTGCCATTTGACAATTTCCCTAAATTCCCCCCTTATTTTTTCACTACAAAAAATAACTTTTCATGCTCCATGGTATTCAGGATTGTACTTTATCCCCCTTCCTCAGTTTTCTCCTGCTCCAAGCTCATACCCTAGTCCAATTTTGCCTCTCTTCTGGTGGGAAGCCAGCCAGCTTCCCCAGCCAAGACTTCAAAACATGTTCTGAGAGCTAAGCCCAAATGCTTGTGTGCAAGGAAGAGGAAGCAGGTTTGAAACATTAAATTATCTTTGTCTTCTACCTTGCCTTTTTCTTCTAGTCTTCTCTTCTTGGCCAAATCTGAAATGCTGCTCTTCCAGATGAAGCTAAATGAAGGGCAGGTTTCAAGCAGCTGCATTTAACCTTTAATGTACTGGACAATGGCAAAAGTAGGACTCAAAAAATTAGTCTTCACCCAACCCCAACTTGCCCAGTCCTCTCTCAGATACATAGGGTAACAGCAACAGTTGGCATGCTCTCACACCCAAAATTAGACCATTGTTCCTACACTTTGCTGGGATATGTAGCTGATAAACTTGAGGGTGCTCTGTTACTTTGACAGTCAAACTAAACAAAATAGAAGCAAGGAAGAAGCCTGGTCAGGAAACTTCACCTAACTCTACAATTCAATTACCTTTGGTGCGATTTGATCACCGTGATCTGGGACCTTGCTAATCACAGGTAGGTACTGCAACAAGTACTCTGCAGAGCTCTTCACTTTGCACTTTCATGTGTATGCTTTGCAGTAGGATTTAGTATATGGCAGCCTATTGGACATGCACATAGCATTTACAGCACCCTTGTAACTGAAATACCTTCATATCCAAACACAGCTTGAAGACTGGCTTCTGAACATAGGCTGAAAGAAATAATGGCTGGCTGCTGTCAGTAATAAGGTCACATGCTGCTCTATGTGTGTTGAGCATCTTTCTTTTCCAACAGTGTTGTTATATTTACTAGATGAGAGCAGGACACGGGCCTCTGTGCAGAGGGAAGGGGTGGCCCAGCTCCCCATGAATGGCTGTCTCAAACTGAGAAAGCCGCTTGATCCTGTGGCTGCCAGGCTATTTGCCCTGCAGCCTCTTGACCAAAATCAACTTTGAGAATGGAAACAGCTATGCGAGTCTCCCCCACAGGAAAAAGCAGGCTGCCAATCAGCGCAGCCCACAATGTCAGGCCACTTCAGCTCTCATGAATTCCCCACAGCATGACCCAGGCATGAACCAGACCTGCCATTGCAGCAGAGTCATCCGTGCTTGCTGTGCCAGCACACCAGCCTTTGGCGTGACACCGCTGTCAACACCCTGCCCAGTAGATGAGACTTGTTGGTTTTGCAGTGCCACGCAGCCAGCCAACCCCTGAGATCAGTCCAGATGGTTTTGAATCAGGAAATTATGTCCTGAAAATCCAGCAAATCCTGGTTAGGAATGCTTTGTACTAACAACAAGAAGCTAAAAGTAACCTCAGGAGGGTACTGGTCTAAGGAAAGAAGAAATACAAGCAAAAATCAGTGAATGAAGAAGTTTCAAGTGCAACTGGTCACTATTCCTGGAATAGGCTTCCAGTCCACTCATCTAGACTCTTCATGAGCACAGACAGTAACAGTTCATCAATCAATACACATAAAAAAGTGAATTAAAACAACCACATAGTGGTAATTCCACACACTTGGACTGAAAGGCAGTTTCTGAATCACATGGTATCCTGGAGACCTGTGGAGGCAGATGCAGTTGTATCATGAGAAAAGAAGTATGCCCATACTTGTGTCACTTAATTCACTGGCTTTGTTACCTGCGAAGAACAAAGAATTTGGGGCTGTGGCACATCACAGATAGCAGTAACGGATATAGAGATTTCTTGTCACTGAATTAAGACAATGAGCTCTCTCCTGGGGACCCTGCCGTGGCTGTCTGATGACTCATTACATTGTGGGAATCCCTTTGTTGCTTCAGGTTTTGTCTGTCGTCTGGACTCCCTCGTGTGGGTGAGCAATATGACTTTCCCCCACTGTTCTGGGGAATCTCATCTCTGTTGGGTGAAAGTTGCAGCAGCAACTTTCCATTCTCAGCCTTAAGGGCTACAATTCCCCAGTAAATACTTGCTTTGGCCCCAGCAGCATCACTGTGGGTTATATTCTCACTTAAAATCCATGTACTCTAAACTGCCAAAAAGAAGTTATTGACATGCAACTTGTACCATTAGGATTGACCAATATGGCACAGAGACTGCAGACAGCTTTTCAGGACATGGACTAGGTATTCCCTTTGTAGTATGTCAGTGGGCATTAAACTGTGAAGTGTCAGGATTTATGCTTTCAGAGTTGAGTGCCTTTCCTGTGGTTGCAGCAGGAGCACTCCAGAATGCTGTTGAAAGAGCATTCCCAGCAGATGTCCATTTTTATCACATTACTTTCCCTAAGATCATACAAGGTTGTGTTCATGGACAAACTAAAGAAGTTGCATTTCTATCTTTAGCTAGATAATCTGACCTTTCATTGTCACTCAAATTAGTGTACATACCAAATTCACTTGAAAATCCTTCACTTCCAAATGGGAACTGCTTTTGGGCATACTGCAGCTCACTTCCTCACAGAAGGACTGCAGCAGGTGTGCTATTATCCTTCTCTATTAATTACTAACAATGAAATCTTAGGTTCTCCTTTTTATCTCAGGTTTTAGTCTCCAAGCTTAGATAGTGGAGGCAAAACCAGTTTCCAGGTGCTGTCTCACTGCCAGCTGTGGTTAGTCCACCTTTGCAGACCCCATCAGCAAGGGGGAACTAAAATAAGCTCCTTTGCTAAGACAGCAGTGAGTCTTAAAAGTTTAACCTGCTGACTCTCGCTATTTTGGCATGCATCATTTCCCCTTCCTAAATATTTTACTAATTAGGCCACTCCAACAACTGAAACTATGTTAAAGAATACTGATAGTTTAGTTCTTTACAGGAGAGTAGGAGGTCACTGTGGAAAGGTAAGCAGAATACTTACCTGCTCAAGTTTCCAACCTGGTTGACCTTGGAAATGCACAGCTGTGACACTGTGCTCAGTGGCCCTAAGAGAGCAAGGCAGGATTTCACCTTTCCCATGTTTAATGTCAAGCCAGAACATTCTTAATATATTCTGGGCACATGTAGGACACTTCTTTTTGACATACAAACTTTGCATAGAATTGAGCTTCCTGGATACTTCACACTTCCTACACCTCTCAAATTGGAGGCCCAGCCTTAGCAGCTCCAGTTTATCAGAAGCATCCAGAAAGAGGCTGGGCCATGAACACACTGATGGGGAAGAGTTGGGCCAGCAGGCCATGGTGAAACAGGAACTACAGGAATATGTAGTATATGGCTTGGCTACTGCAGCCTGTCAAGATGCCCTTCCTGAATACTGCCACACACTGCCAGTCCCCACTGTCTGTTACCCAAACTTGGCACAGTTGTGCCGAGAGGTAATACAGAGTTCAAACAATACAAATGTGGCCTGAATACCCTGTTGCAGAAATCAGACATGCAGAGCTATCCTTCGGGTTTAATAACTTTTATTCCAAGCAAGGATCTTTGTGCCTTTAAATATACTTTATGTGTAGTTTATTACAAAAAATTCTTTGTTAATTCTCTGGTTTTATGTGTTGCTTGTTAAAGCATCTCAGGGTGTGCATTATACATGGTTGAATTTGCATTTTTCATCCTCTGAATGTAATAAAAGACACATCCCCACTGCAAAAGCCATCATGCTTCCCCTGAGTTCAAGGTCAGGCCTCAAACTTGCCTGTAAGGATGTTTTGTAGATGTAGGCAAAACAGTATCTTTTTTATCTAGTTCAGAGGAGCCCAAACTACTTCAGCTTGCCTTATTTTGTTCTCTCTAGTTCATCCTGAAACAGATACTGAGTGTGGAAAACTCTGCCTTTTCATGAAATACAGTTAATGTTATAAACAGCCAAAAGCAAAGCCAGGGCCAGCCTCAGTTCCAAGCTGCAAGAGAAGGAGAGACATTAGTGAACACACAGCCCTGCACAGGCAGTATTACAGCAGGCTTACCTGGAGCTCTACCCTTCATATCATTCATGCATTCCTTATAGTTCTTTGCCATCAGGGAATAGAGATGTGCTAAATTTGGGGTTTTCCCAGCAGCTACCAAGGCTTCAGCCGTGGCCAAGTGCATCACTGTATCATCACTGACTTTCCAACCTTGGATGCTCAAGTTGCTGATTCCCCCCATCTCCGCCAGCTCCCTGTGGATGGCTGGACCATTCTGCAAGAACTCCCATTGCCCATTCTTGTAGCCCAGCGTGTCACCAACTGCACTCAGCACCATCGACGCCACATACTTTTCCATCACCTTAGGACACAACTTTTGCCCCAGGACTGCCTCAATGCAGAAAACACTATGGAAAAAAAAAAAAAAAAGAGAGGGAGATAGAAGACAGTGTCTCCCAGTTGAGGATGAGCCTCCACTGCTAAGCTCCAGCAGGCTGGATACTCAGCCTAGTGTCTGCACCTTCCTCACAGGGCATACTTCTTCAACCCAAATGCCTCCCCAGTGACCTCTGACCGTGTGGGTTAAGTGTGAGGCAGCCCAGCCCTGGGCCACGGGCAGCTGGTCTTATCCTCCCTGGGGTTGTGGCAGCAGCCCAGGATTACGCTGCTCCTCATAGCTGGGTTACAGACCAACAAGCAAGGGCAAGCCTGCAGAAACGGGTGCAGGTTATATGATTGTATTCATGGCCACTGCTCCTCTGAGTGCAACCCACAGCACAGGCGTGGAGGTTAGATCACCTCCTAGCAGCTTTCCTACCCTCGGGATAATGTGAGGCTGAGCTCGGCCAGTTCCGGTCAGGGAGTAAGCACCGGGTCCTTGGGCAAGGCTTGGCCTTGCTTCATCGGCCGGCTACGGGCCGAACTGGCATCCTAGCGGGTACTTCCAGCGATATCCCCCCACAACCCACGCTTCTCCTCAGGCCTCGCTGCGGCACACGGCGAGGCCCTTTGGTTTGGCCCAAGCAGAAGCACGAAAGGCCGTAGCAGTACTTACGCTGCTACCCTTAGGAACAGGGCCGGGCGGGGCCTCCCCCGCCACGGGAGCTGCAGGAGGCTCCGTGGGGCCATCCGGCGCAGAGGACACGCCTCGGAGGCGGAAGCGGCCGGTGGCTGCCCAGGGTGCCTCCGGCCGGCCCTCCCCTTCCGCGGCTGCCCGGGGCGGTGCCACCAGCCCGGCCACGGAGGCTCCTCCTCGGCCCAGGGCGCCACTCCTTCGGTGGGAGCCGGCGCTCCGCAGCCCGCTGCCGCCGGTCACAGTCAGGTTGTCGGCGCGGACGGAGGGTCTGGCGCCTGGGGCGCACGGCTGGGAGCTCGGGAGGGAGGCGGGTGCTTTCGGCCGTTCTCGGTATTGTCTCATTGATAGGCTTTGCTATATGGCCAGTGGTGCTCCTTTATTCTGTATCCCGAGGTGCCAGGTGATCCCACTGCCTTGCTTTATCGTTTGTTTTTAATGATGGTAGTGGTTAGGTGGCTGAGGGCATCTAGTGAATGGGCAACGAAGGGACAGCAGCAGGAAGCAGGCACAAGAAACGGGATTGAGTACGGCTGGATTTTCGTTTTGCAGAGGTTGAGCTTGTTCACCTAGTGGTGGTCACTTGACGTGCTGCTGCACAGCAAGTCTTCAGAGCCCCAGTTCACCCAGAAGGTACCAGTGCCTCTTCCATGAACGGACGCCCCATCCCAGCCCCAGTTCCCCATGCCTATGAGCGAGCTTTGGTAGTTTCTGAGCTGCAGCCCTGGGGGAATTTCAGGGCAATCACAAATGTAGCGCAGAGCCCCTGGGGAATTTGGGGGTAAGTGCGAGCGGGGTCTGGAGCGGGGCCCTGGGGGATTTCAGGTAGCTGAGAGTGCAGGGCTGCATGGGAGCATCACCCTGGTGGCTGTGGTGGTTCAGTGTGCTGTGCAGTCAGGTGTCTGCTGCTCCTCTGCACTCTGATGCTAACGTGGAGATTGAAAAGAAGCTGGTAGAGCACATAGTACTAGAAAGGAAATGGGAAAAGAAGCAGCCGGTGTCTGGGCACTCCCAGCAGTGCCTGCTGGCATTTTGTGCTCCTCCTCTTAATTTTGTTTTATGTAGAGCATCTGTGAATTTACTCAAGTTGGTGCAGTGCTTAAAAGCAAAGTGGGATTTTTCTCTCCTAAGAGTTAGGCCTATGAGAGGCCAAAAGCCCTGCTTTTGGCTGGCTATCTATGAGGAACAGCACAGCAGAGGAGCGGAAAGAGGCAGGCTTCCCCAAATAGACAGGAAGATGGGAGAATGCCTCTGCATCAGCACAAAACGCCTGCAGCACTGGCATCTTTGTATCTCATCGCTGTTTTCTGGTTCCTGAGCTCTTTCAGCTGCCTAAGAGCTGAATCCAAGACGCGCAGTGCAGTTAAGTGACATCTGAGATACCACAGAAAACATCAAGAGCTTCTTGCTGGCAGACAAGTTGACAATGACCCAGCAGGAAGAACCATTGGCAGGAGCCTGCAAACTTGGGGTGGGGATTGCAGCAGCCATCAGTCTCAAAAGGATCCCAAAAGAATTTCCTTGCATAAGTCCCACGGTGGATGAGGAGTGCACTCTCCATTAGGGAGCAACTCCTCAGCATTGACTCATCCCATGGTGGTGAGGCGGGCACAACCAGTTCCCCTTTGCAAGGATGGCCTTCTGGTACTGAGCCATGCAAAGAGTTAAAGATCACAGAATCACAGAATCCCAAGGGTTGGAAGGGACCTCAAGAGATCATCTGGTCCAAGCCCCCTGCAAGAGCAGGGTAACCTAGAGTACATCACACAGGAACTTGTCCAGGCGGGCCTTGAATATCTCCAATGTGGGAGACTCCACAACCCCCCTGGGCAACCTGTTCCAGTGCTCTGTCACTCTCCATGTTGCACCTTTCTGGGGGTTTTGTTATATTTTTTTAAATGAAAATTTAGGCTGCAGTGGGCCAATGGCCAGGATATGCCTTCTGGAAAGTACCACCTTGGAGCAGCTCGCTAACATGCCCCTGACATGTGCTGGACAATGTGGTTAGCACTCAAACTCAGAATTTTCCTCTATATTCATCTGTAAAAAAAGGGTAATTCTTTCTGACTAAAAAAAAACACATGCCTTTCTAGATAAGCTCAGGGTTGAGGTCTCCTCTTTGGAGGACTGTGAAGGCTGGCACTGCAGCACTGGAGCTACTGGAGTCATGTTCATTTGAGATCAGTGCCAACCTCTTAACAGTCTCTCATTCCTTTAATAGTACTTTTTTCTCTGTAATGCCAACAGGCATTTTTTTGAGTGGGGGGTATTTCTGGGCTTACACTAATTCTCAGTCCCCAGGTGCGTGTCTGTCTTTGTCACTGGCCAGCAAATAATAATACACTATAAAAGGGGCATTCAAAATGGGCCATAAGCACCATGTGAGGTCTGCCTGGGACCTGACTGGCTTGCTGTAAGGAGCCTGGGCAGGGACTGCTGGTGAGGCAGCGGTGCATGACCCCACATGCATGTGTGAGGGAAACACTCGGCCTTGCAGGATGCTCGGGGCTGCTGCTCTCACTGGCTGGAAGTTTGCAGCAGGGAATAGGCACCCAGCAGCAGTGGGTGCTTCTGGCTCTGTGCTTCCTTTGCCCTAGGCACAGCAGGGGCTTGCTAACGTTGCTGGCGTGGTGATCCTCGCTTCTTGCGGGCTTTCCAGTGTTAACACTGGACTTCAGCCTCTCATTCAAGAAACCAGACTTCAGTGTAGAAATATCCACCTCTTTCCTTTCAGGCTTGCCTCCTTCCACAAACTGTCTCAGAGCAGGTCCAGCTCGCTGCTCAGGGTGAAAAGGAAACAGTGGAATATTAGTATGACCTTGTCATTGTGGCACCAACCACTCAGAATGCTTCCAAAAGCCTTCTATAACACAGGTTTTAAAAGACAAATTAAAAAATTGCAACACCCTTCCCCCTCCCCCCTCCCCCCCCCCAAGTCTGTTTCAAATAACCATAGTTCTGCAGGGTAGAAGCTGAGCAGGATACTTGCATTAGCACAGAGAGAGTCACTACAATGCCAGCTTGGGACAACCAGCAAGGTCAGTGACACAGGGAACATCTGGGTGAGCTGAAGACTGTGATCACCTCTCCACATCTAGCCAAAGGAACTGCAAACTCATGTTTGTTGCCCCTTTATCAGGTTTGTAGCTAGCATGTTGATAAACAGGATTATGAGGGGACAGGGACCTCTCGAGCCTGGGGACATGAATGAAGCAAGCCCAGCCATCTCCTGTGGACCTGGGGTTTGGCTTGGGCACTGGATCTCAGGTCGAGGACTGGCAGTCCAGCTGCTCCTTGATGTAAATCAAGTGACATTTTCCTTTTCAGTTGTGTGCCAGTGCTGCCACTGTGCTCCCCACCTGCAGGCTGACAGCCTGCTCTCTCTCTGGTGACCTGCACTGCTGTCCCTTCTGCTGCCTTCTTTCCACGAACTGCTGACAGTTGCATGTGTCCTTTCTGAACGTACTGGGGCAGGGGAACTGGGGCAACCCATCAGAGAGGTGTCATGCCTGCCCATCAAGCCTGCCTTTCAACCACTCTCAGCAACCAGCAAGCTAAATTTGGAGGTTCTTGGCACTTACTATTAAAGGTAAGCCCTGGCAGGATGTAGTGCATTGAATATGGCCAGATGCTTGGCGGCAGGACAGGAGGAGGTTTTATCCTGGTATAAGTTTTGAAAGAGTGATGCTCTTCCTGCATTGCAGAAGCAGCAATGTTTAAAGTGTTAAATGCGCTTTCTGCTTTGGGAGCAGGTTTCTCCTTTCTGTGTGAAAAGATGCAGTCTGGGGAACATAATTGCAGCTCATGATGGAGAAAAGATAAGTCAAATACAAAGAATATGAAAAACAGCCCCAGGAGAGGGAGTTCAGCCTTCTGGGACAGGAGGCACAGCGCATCTTGCAATCCCAGCCATAGCTCTGCTGGGGCTCCTGGTGTTGAAACAGCAGCAGATGTGGCCAAGCACATGTGATGCACACAGAAATGTGTGCTTCCACACTACAGCGGAGGCAAATTAACTACTGGGCTCCTCCAAAAAATACTGCTCCTCCTCCTCTTCTTTCCCAGCAGCTTTCCCTCCTTCCAGCTGCATGCATCTACTTCCTGTTATGAGGGTCATCTGCCTGCA